AAATGATGTCAATAGCTCCAGTTACATGTTAATCAGGTCACACACATGCCCACATTGTTCTCCTCCAGGAAGCAGAACGAGGAGTTCACTTTATCACAGTCACATACTGCACATAGTTAACACAGGTCTTTATGGAAAAACATAGATATATGACAAATGTTTGAGATGATGTATGTATACATTATATGTATACATAATAAGAATGTTTTCTTGACACATCAGTTCAGTGAGAATAGTTAATGAGGTTACTGTTACACTGAGGAGAAGTCTGAGGTTTCACAGCAGGGATTTCAGCTGGGGCCATGCTAACTGCTAATAAGATGAGGCTAATTTTATCATATAGATAAGAGCGTGCACATGTACACAGTGTTCGGTGAAGTGAAGCTCATTACTCGGCTGTTATGATATGTGTTGGTGTCTTTAATTTAGTTTCGCAACATGTCAGTGAATAGCAGCAGAATAATACTTTAGGTCTGTGTGTTAAAACACTGTTGTTCATGTTCATTGACAGAATCACTGGTCACTGTAAATGTCCCTGTTTTAAAATGGAAAGGTGAAGGGACAACATCCACAGTAGTTGTTCAGTTTAATGTGATCAGGCTTTAGTCTGACTAAAGCCACATTCACAAACTGTCAATCATTTGGACAGTCACATACACTCACTGAGCACTTTATTAGGAAAGTGTGATCATATTCTTTACATTTTTACCTCTTCATCTCAACGACATTATTAATTACTTTCATTTGGTTTCTCTCCTTTTCCTGAGCTCCACATGAACAGGTTATCTAGGACAGACAGAGAGAATCAGACTAAGGTGAACAGGCTTTAAGCCATCAGCGCGCAACAACAACGTGCTAGCAGTTGGCCATGTCTCCTAGAGAACGCAGAAGGGTTGGTTCCTAACAACATCTCATGGCTGGTGGACATTTAGGTTTGTGTTGTAAGTAACAAACATCCAATATTGGCACCTGAATCAACAATATTCACATAAGTGAAAATAAGCTAACTAAATACAATCCATCACTGTGGCCTTTGGACGGCAGGTTTGATGTAGACGCCAATGTATATGAAATGGAGATGTTGATTAGGACCTTTGAAGTTAGAGATAAGAACAGCAAAAGCTGTTGCAGAAGAGAAAAAGAGAGTTAGCAGTGCTGGCCTTGTTTCAGGAGCAGGGCAAATGGCTGGGGGAAGCCATGAAGAGCATGTGAAAGCTGCGGTGACCATGGAGAGGATGAGCTGGTCCCCACCCAACACCTCCTCCTCCATATGCCAGCCAAATGCCAGTGAGGAAACTACTTTACCCATCAGCGGAGCTGACAAGGCTTGCTCAAGCTCGAGCTGGGGAGGAGTAGGAGATCCCGGTCACATGGCCAAAAACCTCTGAAGAAGGGGAGGCATGCGTCTGGGTTTTACAAGAAAATCAGGAAAAGTGAAGCAGAGTGTAATCAATGGGATGAGAAATGGCACGAAGAGGATAAAACAAGTGAAGCTGAAGAGGGAGCCTCCAGAAAAATCCACTGAGGCGAGGCTTGTGGACAAAAGGGTCAAGAAGAAGATCTCGAGGAGCTCATCAGTTTGTCTGACCAGTTTACTTGGACTACTGGTCCCCTAATGCTGGCATATTACTATCAATTGCCTTCAGGAAAGAAAAAGGAGAAAGGAATGGTTGAATGGAGTGCCCACCTTAAACCTTGAGTGGTGGTCTTTTTTACATCATCTGTGCTTGAGGACTTGACTGAAATGTAACCCCTTGCTTGCCAAAGGCCGGAATCTGCAGTATGCCCCTGGCTACAAGTGGACTTAGATGGCTTAATACAGTGTCTGCCGTTTATACATCAGGGGGCTGGAAAGTGGATAACAGCCTTTGAGGAGGAGGACAATTGCTACAATTCTGGGAATGCTTGATCTCAAAGCTATTTCTGGAAAGCATGAAATGGAAGAGAATTCTGCCCACTGCAGGACTTGATCAGTATGTCAAACACCCCAGGGGAATGGTGCTGATATCTTAATAGATATCGTAATATGCTGTGTGGACTGTGCTGAGGGGGCGCTATCCTGACAGAATTCAGCCTGGCAGTATTACCACAGCACCTATCAAAGGATGATGAGAGCCCCCAAGCCTATGTTCATGCACCGAGGAAGGAGTGGATCAGGCAGAACGGGAACAAGGCCAGATCGAGATGTTGTTTCATCAGGTGCACTGTGTAAAACCTAACAGTACATTCTTAATAAAAAAGTAAAGTTAACATAACTTAATCTTTGCGAAAAAAGTTGGAGGTCATCTCATTCCATTGAATTTAATACTAACATCAAAAATTAATTGTGATAGTAGTAATTAACTCAGTTGTCTTTTGAGTTTCACTTACATTTTTGGAGCATTGTTAAAGCTGATCGTGATATTAATTTCCAGTTGTGTTCGCATGTGACTCATTTTCTTTAAAGTTGACTTTTATATCACTTTTAGCAAAAATGTAAGCCCCGCTGCTGAAGTTGCTCATATAGATGCTGAGTATGGCTTAGGCATTCTTTCAAATTTTTTCGCATTCAAATAATTCTTGATCGTTCTTTGAAATGACTCTCCCTCAATGTGTGTGAGATTTTGTGTATATTCATAACAAGTATACAATAGTCATTGACAAAAACTGTATCGAGTGAAGGAGTTTTTTTGCTATTTGAGGAAAAAACTCCTCACCGCCCCCACAGGGGTGTGTGCAGTGTTCAAAATTACTACAAAAGACAGTAAATGTCCACACCAAAGGAATTCAGTATAAATTGTGTTTAGGTAATCTTTCAAAAAACGGCAATGAACAAAATACAACCGCCATGAACAACATTCTGGGATCAGATGTGTATTTCCCTAACCAATTAACAAGTGTTGGGTCAGTCCCACAGATCTGAATAACCTGAACTGTTTCCGCTGATCCAGTGTATTTATAACAGATACAAACAGAGAGAAATGTGCGCAATGTGGTGTTTTTGTCGTCTTCTGATTGGCTCTGCTGGCCTTCGCTCCTTCACCATCTGACCTCCGACCTAAGTGGAAGCCTAAAAACTCAGCGCCCGCCAAAAATGAAGACAGTTAGTGTTTGACACATAAAATTACCCTTCTCTAGCCTCTTGTTAGCCTCGCGGGCATGCCCCCAACACGATGCCCATAGAGTGTGTCCATTGTCAAGTGGTTGTAAATAGTTTTCCTTGAGCGCAATGGTTTTGAAGACCACACACTCGCACCCTTAGCACCTAAAATATCCACTAGTATATACAATAATAAACAGTTTTAGGTTTAATAGCCCTGAACAGTTATTCCAACATCAGTCCACAGTTTTGAATAAAATT